TGACGTTGAAAAATCTAACGTTGTCCATGCTTTTATTTTCAACATTAATACAACCAAGCTAATAACATTATTTAACGTTGTTCCAGCGTGTCAAAGGGCGAAATCTATTATAATCTTAAGTTTAAAATCTTATATTTTATATTTATTTATCGGAATCTTGAATTTAAAAAAAAAATCATTATATATTCCTTAAAACAGAACTTTTAACAAATATAGAAAGAAAAAAAATTATTGTGTGTATTTCTGACATAAAGTTTCTATTTATTAGATATATTATAATTATAGATATATATTTAAAAAAAATTAAAAATTGCTTTTAGATTTAAGTTGAACATAAATACACAAACTGAAACATTTTTTTTTTGAGATTTTTTAAATGTTTAATGCCTAAAAACAAATGCTAAATCTTTTTTAAATATAAGATTCTTAAAAAATGAATGTATGCAAATTAGTTTTAATGAAATATCATAGTGAAGTTATGATAAATGATAGTTTATTAAAAATAATTTTATGAAATTATAATTAATTTAGAAATAATTCTGAGAATTAATAAAGAGAAAAAATCTTCTCTGTAAATTTTCAGGTTGCTCAAATTAAACCAATTATCTCTTAAATAGACAACCTTGAAGGAAAAGATGCTTGGCTTGGGATTGCAGATTTAGCAACACTTTCAGCCTCAGCACTGTCTAGCTAAGCAACTTTAGCTTTGTCTGTTTGAGCATTCCAGCAAAGTATTTTTGTTGTGTTTCTCTTGTGGTGACATAAGAAAGCATTTTACCAATAATTGGGAAGCAGGTTAAGCAACGTTTTTAACTGTTGTTCATTATTTTAAAAATACCTATATGAATAAATTTCTAAACCACCTCAACATTTTCTCAACACAATTTCTAAACCACCTCAACATTTTCTCTATAGTACTTTAGTTTTTTGAGTGTGTTGGTCAACCGTGTCAAAGACTTTTGAAGAGTCGATAAAGATACTAATAATATATTTTGTTTGAACAAAAGATTTTGAAATTTAATTTAAGAATTGGATAATTGTATGTTCTGCTGAGTTATCCTTTTTAAAACCAAATTGATTAACATAGAATAGACTTTTTATTAAGTTTTTATGAATTCTGTTTCATAAAATTAATAAGTTTTTATGATTTTTGAGAATATTGAAAGTGCAGAGATGAAGCGAAAATTAGTTGTTTTAGTTATTTTTAATTAGGATTGGTCCCCCTCTTGATAAATTAGTGAAACAATTTTTACTTTAATCTTTCTTATTTAATTGAGGCACCGTAAACGTTGAAAAAACATTTTTTTAATTGCTTGAAGCAACCTATAATCACGTTTCCATTTATTTTATCTGGTCCACATTATTATTTTTTTAATTGATTCGAAAGCGATTTAAAAATTTTCAATTGATAAATCAGTTGATATACTCATCAAAGCATATGCATTTATCCAAGGTCTTTGGATTCCAAAGGTAATCATATTAATGTTTAAAGATTTCACTAAATAATTAAAAAATCAGTTTAAAATTGTCATCAATTAAATTTGCTCACATTATAGTTTCTCTGGTAGGACGATTGACGAGAAATTCATGTACAACATTCATGCTGTACATGATTTTCTAAATTTTTTTGTAAAACATCTGAGTTTGCTCTCAAAGTCTGAGTTTGCTCTCAAACATCTGAGTTTGCTCTCAAAGTCGGTCTTAGTTCGGAAATCACTTCTTCAATATATTGGAGCATTTTTGGAAGCATTTTTTAATGTTTGTAAAAAGCTAGTAACTGTTGAGGGAAACAGGATTGCAGATCTAGAAAGTCCGTTGGATCGCAATTTATAGTATAATTCATTTAATTTAAGATTTTTCATTGATTTGGTGAATCAGTAATTACGTTTTTTATGTTCTATAATATTAGCAACTTATAATTTTACCTTTAAAAATCAAGACAGAATATAAACAAAATACAACTCTTGTCCTAAAATACGAATGCCATAACGTTATGAGCTGATTTTTGAGATTTTGGTTGTCTTGTTAATTTTTTATTGGTTACTGAATTTTTAACGCGTTGTTGTTTTTGATTTGGAGTAAGCCACTATTAAGCCACTTTAAAACAACTCATATTTTTTTTGATTTGGAGTAAGCCACTTCAAAATAACTTTTTTTGTATAGTTGTAAACATGTTATCTTCTAAAACTTTTATAAACTTTAAGAATGCGGAGATGTTATCATATTAGTTCATTACTCAATGGGAAATCGGCTAGGGGCTAGCTAGCGATATTCGTAACGATAAAGACAGCAATTTGGCTACGAGGATTGCTAAAAGAAAAGCTAGCGATTGGATAGAAAATAATTGCATTGTTTTTTTATATCTTTTTTTTCCATATATATCCCATGTATTATATAATTTTTATTACATATTGTTACATATTTACTGTGGTGACATTACATGTCATTGTTACATATTTACTGTGGATTCGTAAACCAACTAGCATTATAAAATATCAACGCTAGATTTCTACTTATATTACCCAAACTTTTATTATTTTTTGTCTCTTTTTTTAATTTTAGCTATTTTGGTAGTTTTATCTAAACAATGTTGATAGCTACAGACGCTACGGTATGTAGCTATTAAATAAATACACACTTGTACACATAGCTACAATAATGTCATAATAATAGTAACGCTATCTAAAATACTCAGGTATGTATACACACCACAGCTTTTTAGCTAGCGATATTGACTACATATAGATTTATAGTTATGATTTAGCAAGATGCAAAGCTAAAAAAAGGAGCTTTAGAATCGTTGCTATGTAGAAGTTTGCGACAAAGCTATGAAACGTAGCTATTGATATATCGTAACAACAACGCTAGCTAAAAAGCTACGATATGTAGTTACCAACTAGCTTTAGCCTTGTCGTTATGTTATAGTCTATCTACGACCTGTAGCTATCGATATATTGTAAGAAAAAATTACTCCAAGTTGCTAACTTATTTCCTATCGAGCATATTAGCTACCCAGAAATTGGTTTTTCAGCTGTGTTGCCATACATGTGTTAGATTAGAATAATGTGTTCTTGAGTATAACTTTGTATATTAGTTGTATATATATATATATATATATATATATATATATATATATATATATATATATATATATATATATATATATATATATATATATATATATATATATATATATACATGTATATATATATATATATATATTTATATATATATATATATATATATATATATACATATATATATATATATATATATATATATATATATATATATATATATATATATATATATATATATATATATATATATATGTCTTGTATATATCTCTTGCTCAAGTTGTATTCTTATGTTTTTTATAAGTTTATTAACGGTATAATAGATGTTTAACAACTTTTTTTTAATTATCATAAGAAAATGTTAGTAAATTAGAATATGAAATAAATTTGTTTTCATTTATGTATAAAAAATAATTAACTTAAAAGTTCAGTTAGGGTAACGCGGGGCAAAATGAGACTGCGGGGCAATACGAGACAGTTCGCGTTTAATATGATGCCAGCCCTACAAATTATTATTTGCAAGGTTTTTAAAAGTGCAGTTGTGTTCAAAAACTATTTTGTGTCAAGAAAAATATATTGAGTCACTTTGAAATAAAAAAGTTGAGTAAAAAGGGAATCATTTTATCTCTCGGCTTCGCGAAAATTACGAATTTTTAAGTGTTGTTATTATATTTTTTCCTAGCCTTTTTTGATCTCACTGAGTGGAAAAGCTTTTTATATTTAAAGTTTTTTTTTAATTAGAATCTTTAGGCCTTTTTCTTTCGTTTCTATTCTTTGGTATTTTATTTCTTCAATAAAATAGTCTGGAAATTAGGCTATTCGATGCCAACATGATGCGGGGCAAAACGAGACACTCTGTTTGTATTTTTTTTTTGCCGATATCTAATATTATGTTTATTTAATTTTTTACATTAAAACAACAAACAAAGCAAATATTAATATTTACATGCTGTAGATTTAAATTTATTATACTGTATTTACTTACTTTTTATTTTGTTAATTGAAATATTTAGTTGTTATCCAATATAGAATTACGTTTTATATTTTGACTAGTGACAGTTTGACTATAGCTGTAATATATTATAAAATGTATTTCTTGCTAATCCTCTTAAAGATCTGTTTTGTTTAACTTTATTTATTTAAATTACTAAAATAAAAATCTGTCTCATTTTGCCCCGGTATGCGGGGTAAAATGAGACAGGATAGGTGCTGTCAATAAACGATCTCTGGTGACCAAACTACTGCAGTTTTGCAACTCATACTTTTTAAACTTCAAGTAGGATGGTAGAAGAATTGAAATATATCAATTTATTTTTTCAAGAGTTGTTAGAATTTTTCAAAAGTTGTGAGATTTTTTCAAAAGTTGTAATACGCCTTTTACAAAAGTTGTAATAAAAGTTGAATTAGATATATTAGCGCTTAAGTGTCTCATTTTGCCCCTCGTTACGCTAATTTGTTCCTTATTATAAGAGTGCAACAAGTTTGTTCATTTTTTATGAATTTTAAATCCAAACTTTTAAATAAATTCTCTTTATATAGAGACAATTCAATTTATAATAAAATTCTAATCATGTTTCTTTAAATGCAATAAATAAAATAACGAAAAATTATAGTTAATTAAGAAGTTAATCTTTAAGTGAACAGAACATTGTTTCAATAAAACGTGAATCTAACATCTGCTAAGTAATAATAAATGTAAAAAAATAAAATAAACGAAAATTTCTACCAATCAAAATCTTCAACAACCGATATAAATATTTATAAAGGTAACAATAGTATTCGAGAGACTTTTCCTGAACAGATTTCTCCCGAATTAATTAATTATGGAAAAATATGCATAAATTTTCATAAATAATTGGAGATGATATTGATGTTTTGAAGAAACTTAAATAATTTATTTTTGTTCTTAGCGTCAGAAGCTTAAAATGCATGCTAAAGAGCAATCCATTTGATGAAAATCGAAGGATTAGCATTGCTCATCATTAAGTGCATTAAAGAAGAGCAAATAAAAAGAGGAAACGACAGTTTTTGCTCAAAGCACATTGTTGAGATTTTTATTAGATGCAGAAACTTTTAAAAACTTTTGAATTAAGTTGGCATTGTTTACTTCAAACTTAGTAGAAAATTTTTGACATTTTACAGAAGTTTTAACTTATTTATAAACTTTTTTCAAACTTGTTGGAATTGTATTATTAAAATCCTCTCTAAGATTCAAATTAAAGACTTTTATAATTCTTTTACTTTCAAAATAATTGATTTTATCATGGATTCTGAAAATAAAACTTTTTATTTTGCCAATGGTGGTTTGTGGTTATAGATCATAAAGTTTTTAAAATTTCTTCGGATCAAATATTAAAGGTTACCAATGCTGCTTCAAAAGAAAGAGTGAGTAAATAAGTTTAATTTTAAAAATAAAACAAAATATTTTGTTTTGACTTTTTGTTCGCTTAACACCACATCATTTTTAGTCTTTAAAACAAATTTACATTATTAATTTTTTTTAATATAATTTTATCATGAAATCATTATAAATCGAGTAAATAAAAAGGAATCGTAAACAAGAATAAATAATGCAAATTTTCTAAAAGAAAAATTTTCATTTGGCGAATCGCCATTTTGCTTCAATTAAATAGAATATGAATTATTAAGAAAAGATTTTCACCTGCGTCTTGTTTCTCTGCTAATAGCTATTTTCTATGTCAAAGCTGAAACTAAAACAAGTTTTAAATAAGGAACGAAATAACTCATCTAAATGATGGTAAAATGTACAACGTATATATATATATATATATATATATATATATATATATATATATATATATATATATATATATATATATATATATATATATATATATATATTTATATATATATATATATATATATATATATATATATATATATTTAGTTGCAATAATTTAGTTGCAAATAAATAAATATTTAGCTGTCTATAAATAAATATTTAGTTGCAAAGCAAGTCTATTTGTATATACAAAGTTTAAAGATTATTTTTAATGATTAGTTTCGCCCATATACATACATTTATATATATATATATAGAGAGAGATATGTATTTTATATATATATATATATATATATATATATATATATATATATATATATATATTTGTACATACAAAGCTTAAAAATTATTTTTAATTATTAGTTTTGCCCATATATACACATTTACATATATATATATATATATATATATATATATATATATATATATATATATATATATATATATATATATATATATATATATATATATATATATATATATATATATATATATATATATATATATATATATATATATATATATATATATATATATATATATACATACATACATCTACATAAATGCATGTATATATATTTATGTGTGTGTGTTTTAATAATATAAAATTAGTTTTGTTTATATGTTTATGAAAGCATAATATAAATTTAGTGACGTCAGATTGTTTTATAATATGCCATAATACTTTTTTGTCATTCCAGCCAAAACAATGACGGTGTGATGCCAACGCAATCTACCTTTGATCGGGATGATGAGCCGTTACAGTACTCCATAACAACATTGTACGCGGATCCTCTTCCGTACCCGTCAGGCACAAACATCTATGAACAAGCAGCTAATTTTAACTCTTTTGCTGAACCACTTCTAACTAATAATAATGTTTACTCCGCCAATATGCAACCACCACCTTACACACCTTTAGACGAAAATAAAATGTACCCATCAGCACCTTCATATGAATATGCTATTAGCTATCCAAACACACATCAAGAATTTCAAGAACAACGTCAGAAGGAAAAAGATGACCTTGATTTATTTAAATATACTGCACCTTGCAAGAAAACTGCCTCAATGGTTATAGTAATTATCGGGATTTTAATTGTTATTGTTTTCATTATTTTATTGGTACTTGGAAAACTTTAATCCGTCGACAGGTTTATGTAATGAAAAAAACGTAAAATTATTTGCAAGATTAAAGAAGCTAAATTTCATGTTATTTTTTTTACGTTGAAACGATTATTGCGATTAAAAGTTTAATTTAAGCTATACGCAGGAGTGATTCTAGGAATCGATATTCTAGAATATCGGTTCTTTTTTTAAACTGTTTAGAAAGCGGGTATCAAATTTTTTTTAAGCTGTTAGTTTTCTAACAAAGGTCAGCTTGTATATTGACTTAACTTGAGTTTTAGTTTTGCTTAAGTTTTTCTGTGCTATTTTTTTCTTTGCATTTGCAGAAAAATATGAACAGTTGGTTTAACCGCCTTTCTTAAACATTTAATTTTTAATTTGCTGTTAAATAAATAAAAAGAGAAAAACTTTATCAAAAACAAACATGAAAATAATGTCTTTTAGTAAACTTGCATTGTTTAGTATTTATCTCTTTATTTTCCCTTTATTTTCAAAAAAAATTTTTGACAAGTTGAAACGTAAACAGTTTGTTTTATTTAAATTAATTGAGCCACCAAATTATGAGGTAATTCTTCTTTGAATGAATTTAGGTTATTTTATATTTATCATTTTTGAAAGCTTTAAGGGTTTAACTAATTTTAATAAAAATAATAAGAAAGTATTTAGGTAATTTAAACTTAGAGCCTTTGAACATTGAAATTAATGAAAAACTTGGCGATGAATATTAATTTATATATTGGTGGTTTTATCTAAACAACCACGTTGATAGCTACAAACAATACGGTATGCAGCTGTTAAATAAATACACACTTGTCGTTATGTTATACATAGCTGCAATAGTGTTACAATAATATAACGTTATCTAAAAGTACTGTGCCACAGTCTGTGGTGTGTATACTCACCACAGTATTTTAGATTTTCCTGTAAATTTAAGTATAGATAATGCAGTTTAACGCATTTTTATAAACTCACGAAGTTCAGTAAGCTTTTTAGGTTTTAGTATTTTCTAAATGTTTTTTCAATAACTTTCGAAGCTTGATGCATTATATTTTGAAAATAACTTAACCTGGTATAGAAATAAATAAAACGTTTACATTAGTTTCACAAAAAGTTGTTTTTTAAAAAAACTGGTTCATATTTGTAAAAAAAATTGTATAAACAAACTTTTGTTAAGAGTCGCTAATTATTTATTTCACAATTTTTCCATTTAAGTTTTATTCTTTTTTTTATCAAAGTTTATTTTTCTTAATTCTAACCTACGTTCACTTTATTCTATATTTCTTCAAAAAAAAACTGAATGTGTTAAATATTATTAAGCTGAAATTTAATAGAGTTGATACCTACGCTCCCCAATAAAAAGGAGAGAAATTCAATCCTCAAAAAAGCTAAAGAGTTATAAGACTTAAAAGAAAACTAAATGATAATTATCAACCCAGACTTACCATAAAGTAAAAGATATTAGATGTATTTTAATAAAGAGAAGAACTTTAACTTAAAAATGAAATTGATGATAAGCAATATTATTACTCTATCAGAAATGATAAAGTTATAATAAAAACGAAGAAGATTTTATGAGTAGTAAATGAGAAGATTGTAAGTAACATTAAAACAACAGCAAGAGAGGTTACAAAACGAGATGAAAGAAAGTTGTTCAAAATGGTGGTACACAAAAATTATGTCTTTAAATAATAAATATAATAAGGTTTTAATTGAAATTGTTAGAATTTCATACCATAACACGGTAACAAATATTCCTGGATGATGCATGTGTAGAAAGCATAGCCGTTGAAAAAAAAACGCAGTGGATTTGAAATGTTGAGCTTCAAAGTAAAACGAGACTGGATTTAAAGACACATATCACCTTAAAGGAATAAGATTTAAAAAATAGGAAAACTGTTTTAGAAGGATTTTTATTCTAGTTTTTAAATATTTTTTTTGTTTTTATTTTTTATAGAAAAATATATAAAAAAATAAATTCAAAACAAGAAGAGATTAGAAAACGTGTGTGTGAATTTTATTTAAATTACAAAAATGCTGGTAAAAAGTTCACTTATGACCACTTAAAAAAAGTGGTCATAAGTGAACTTTTTACCACTTTTAAAGTAAAGTGGATAATATACCTAAAAGTACTATCTACAAGATAATTAAACGTGCTGAAAGTGAATCTGGGTACCAAAGAATTCAAAGAAGTGGAGTAAAAGCTAAAAAAATGACCAGGACAAACATTAAAAAGCTCCAACTCATGTTTGAGCCTTTCAATGTTTGAAAGACGGAGTTCCTCAACGACAGGCAGCTAAAAAGTTCAACTGTACTCAGCAACACATTAGTAAAACATTAAAAAAAGAACAAATATTAAATCAAGAAAAAAATGACGATTCCAAAACGCTCTGACCAGCATAAAGCAGTAGCTAGAACTAAGTGCAGTCGATTGTGTCAGAAATTCAAAAATCGTAAACCAATCATTGACGATGAGTCTTACTTCACGTTAAATCACTCCAGTATCAATGGAAATGATATATTTTATACTAGTGATGTAAAATCTACTCCATCTACAGTTAAGTATTAAACAAAACAGAAGTTTCGAAAGAAATTACTTCTATGGGTTGCTTTTTCTAAAAATGGAATATCTCAACCTTATTTTGTACCAAGTGGACTGGCTGTAAAGCAAAAAAATCTATTTAAACAAATATATTAAGAAGAAACTTATTCCATTCATCAATAGGTATCATTCAGATGGTGCATATGTATTCTGGCAAGATTTAGCATTATCTCACTATGCCAAAACAGTAATTATGTACCTAAACAAGGAAAACGTGCATTATGTTGAGAAAGCGTATAACCTTGCAAACTTGCCAGAATGTTGCCCTATCAAAAATATTTAGAGTATTTTGAAAGGCCTAGTCTACAAGAATAATTGGCACGCAGAAAATCTTAGAAAATTTTGTTCTAGAATCAAGTATTGCCTTAATAAAATTTATATTGAGCTCATACGGAGACTAGCTCAGTCTATACCAGGCCTAGTTGATAAAGTCAGAAGAAATGGTTTAATTGAGAACAACTGATTATATATTTAAAAACTAGAATAAAAATACTTTCTAGAACATTTTTCCTTTTTGTTTTATCTTATTTCTTTAAAGAGATATGTGTCTTTAAATCCAGTTTCGTTTTTTAGTTGTCACCCGTTATGATATTTAGTAAAAAAGAAAGTTGCATTTTCTTATGTGGACATTTTTATTTTGCTCCTAATTGGCTGCAGCAATTTGTTAACTAAAAAACATGAAACAACGCACTTATTTTTAAATGGCTTAGATGAATTTTATGTGTTCTAAAAAGCGTAATTAAACCAATATTTAATCTTAAAAATAAAAAAACTGAATATATTTTAGATCTTTTAATAACAGTTAGAAATTCGAGATTTTTTATTTAATACATCACCCGCCGCTTCAACAAGAACTAAATTGACATCATATTCATACTTTTTTTGACAACTTTATTCTATCAAATAAAAGTGGAAATCAAACTTACGCAAAAAATATATTTATAATACAAGGAAGTATATTCATATGATACGATAACATATATGTATCATAAACGAAACTATATTAATATGATATGTATCATAAAGAGAAGTATATTTATATGATACGATATGATATATGTATCATTAAGAGAAGTATATTAATATATTAATATACTTCTCGTTATACTTTAAGGCATTCTTGTCTCCCTTTGATGAATTCTCCCAGGAACAGATTTGGATTTTGAGTGGCATTTTTTTATAGGACATTATGATTAAGTATAGTATTTGAATATATTTCTGAAAGGCAATAATGATAAATATAAGTGTATTGTACTTGTACTTTATTTAACTGTCATCTGACAAATACAGATTCATATATAATTATTTGCGTTGCTCAATCAGGCAGCTTTCATAGTCTAAATCTTGCTAATTTCAATAAACTTTCAGAAGAATCCAAAATATTTTCGAAAATTTCAGAGATTTCTAAAAATCTCCAGAACAGTCCAAAAAATTCTAGAAAGTTCCATAAGGTTCAAGGTTTTAAAATGTCAAAATGCTACTGCCTAATATATATATATATATATATATATATATATATATATATATATATATATATATATATATATATATATATATATATATATATATATATATATATATATATAAAGTTCCAAAGGTTAAAGTATATATATATATATATATATATATATATATATATATATATATATATATATATATATATATATATATATATATATATATATATATATATATATATTTCCAAAGGTTAAAGTATATATATATATATATATATATATATATATATATATATATATATATATATATATATATATATATATATACTTTTTTTTCTTAAAATTTGGTCGCTACAAAAATAGCACGAAATGTTATCACACGTAAAAACAAATGTCTATGTAGGGGAGATGTGTGCAAATTAATCGCCGGCGCAGTACGATCTTTTAGCTTTCAGTCGTCTTATTATGACAGAGATTGAAACTTAATTAACCACAAAACTACCCTTTATTGTTTATTTGTAATATTTTTAATAATGATAATAATATTTTTGATAAGATTAACTTCTAGCCTAGGACTCACAATATTAGGGGACTCAAATTGGATTTTTAGAGATTTGTTTAAAAAGTGGTGCCCAAAAATCTAATTCTATTTTTAATTATCTTAAGGAGACCAACTATTTTTTGTTCAAAAAAAAATCACCTTGCAAGTATTTTATAGGTGGAAAAAATAAGAAGAAAAAACAATAACAACTTTATTTATTTTTTTTAACGTATTTTTCTTCAGAGTGGATTTTTTTTTTGCTAAATGAGGATGTTTGTCTAATAATGTAGCCACATCCGAACAACTTTCATTTTGCATATTAAATTTGACTGTTACAACGGCAGTTTTAATTTGACTGTTAAAACTTTTAAATCTGTATAGCATCAACATCATTTTATACCAAAAAATGATACAAAGATAAAGAATTAATTAAAGAAAACAACATTTTCAAATAGGTTTTATATATTCAATTTCTAACCAGTTGTA